GCCGTGGAGCTGGTGCAACTGGGCAAGGCCGTGGAGAGGGGAGGGTCTGCCGTGGAGCTGGTGCAGCCAAGTGAGGCCATGGAGAGGGGAGGCTCACCCCCTGGAGTCGGTGCAGCCGGGCGAGGCTGTGGAGAGGGGAGGGTCGGCCATGGAGGGGAAGAGGTGGTATTCAGAGAGCAGGGGCCAATCTGGAAGGGTCGAGGGCAATGGGGCAGGTGGCACTAAGGATCTGAAATCTGGTTAGGCAAGGTCCCGGGGCACTAACGCCCACGCGGCCATTTTCCCACGTTGCTGCCTCCAGGGTGAGGAGGAAAGGGGAGACTGCAGCTCTCTCTGAGCCAGGAAATACCCCAGTGCCCTCCCAACCCTCACCTGCCTCCCTCCCGTGTGCCCTCTCCAGAGGCTGGCCAACTCCAAAGCCCACACATCCCGCTTCATCAGTGCCAACCTTCCCTGTAACAAGTTCAAGAACCGCCTTGTGAACATCATGCCGTACGAGAGCACACGCGTGTGCCTGCAGCCCATCCGCGGCGTGGAGGGCTCTGACTACATCAACGCCAGCTTCATCGATGGCTACCGGTGCGCGGGCCGGGGTGGGCCGAGGAGGCCACTCTGCGTCCCTGCCCTGGGGGTCTTACGGGCTCGCCCCCCAGAGACGCCAGCTTCCTTTAGAAATAGACAGCCTCTTTGCATGGGCGATAGACCAAGGAGTCCAGGGGTGGAGCAGGAAAGAGAATAAGCCCCGAACAGTGGCTCTGCTATGCTTAGAGCAGTCGCTCCCCCTTCATGCCCGTGGCCTAAAAAGAGACAGGAAACATCCTTGGACCTGGAGATGGGAGCTCCAGGTTCAAGTCTCTGCATGCCTTTGAGTATCACTCCTCTAGTCCAGACCTCAGTTTCCCTGTCTGTACAAGGGGGGGAGCCGACCTCAATGGTCTGTGTTGGGGTAAAAATCCCCATCATTCCCAGAGGAGACGCTGGGGCGGCCAACGCAGGACCCTGCGCCCTCCGAAGAAGGCTGAGGCCTCTCTCAGCGACCCTCTCTTGCTCACAGGCAGCAGAAGGCCTACATTGCCACACAGGGGCCGCTGGCAGAGACCACCGAGGACTTCTGGCGGATGCTGTGGGAGAACAATTCCACCATCGTGGTGATGCTCACCAAGCTGCGGGAGATGGGCCGGGTGAGTAGGGAAGGCAGCGAGCAGGGGCAGCCCTGGCCCCGGCCCTGGCCTTCCGTGCCTTTAAGTCGCCAGAGAGGTCCAAGCACCAAGCCTCGCCTGCTGGGGTAGCAGAGCAGCTTGGAGTAGAATGTGTCATGAACAAACATCCCCCCACCACACAGGGACCCTCGGAGCTCTGGGAAGCCTTCAGAGGGCACCTTCTCCCAGGACTCCTAGGGAAGGAGCCCTACGGGACCTAAGTTTAGTAGGAGGAGCAGGGCAAGTGTAAGAGCGGCCAACCCTGGGCCTGCCCTGAGGGAGGTGACAGTCTGGAGTCGGGGGACTGGGGGCAGACCCAGGCCCTGCTCCTCGGGGAGATGGGAAGATGAGATATGTTCAGCCAGTGGGGTAAGGGCAGGGCGGAAGGAGGCAGCCTGCAGTCAGTGGCTTCTCCCTGACCAGCACAGCCCCCTGCTCCCTGCACACACACACACACACACACACACGCATACACGCACGCATGCATACACACACATGCACGCACGCACGCATGTACACACACACACATACACACACACACGTCCCCTGCACGGGACAGCAGGCCTGACAGGCAGCCCCATTCTCCTTGCACCAGGAGAAATGTCACCAGTACTGGCCAGCAGAACGATCAGCACGCTACCAATACTTTGTAGTGGACCCCATGGCAGAGTATAACATGCCCCAGTACATCCTGCGCGAGTTCAAAGTCACCGATGCCCGGGTGAGTACCCAGCCGGTCCCAGGGGGCAGCTGGGGGAGGGGGGGTGCAGGCGCCCAAGTTCCCAGCTCCACGTGGGGCAGTGGGGCACTCCAGAAACAGTCACCGACCCCGCCCTGCCCTCCCCACGGGCTCGGGCCATCGGTCAGCTCTGGCCACCTGAAGATTGAGGCCAGGCCCAGAGAAACGAGGAAGCAGCTGATCTCCAAGGCATTGGCCCAGAAGCAAGAGGTGTTCCCTGTTGCTTACGTGCTATGTAGCCTTGTTCTCCCTCAGCTCAAGGTGGCCAGTCCTGGACTGCCCCTTTCTGAGCCCCAGTTTTCTCATCTGTAAAATGGGGGAGGAGTGGACTAGAAAATTGCCATGGCCCATTTTAGCTCTAAGAACATATTCATGCAAGTTGTTGTGGGATAAACAAAGTAAATAGTGTGGACCGTAAAGGGGGGAAGGGGAGAGGAAAAGCATTTATATAGCACTTACTGTGTGCCAGGTGCTGTGCAAATATTATTTGACCCCTCATTTGACCCTCACAAAACTCCTGGGAAGCAGGTACTATTATAATCCCCATTTTACAGTTGAGGAAACTGAGGCAGACAGAGGTTAAGTGGCTTGCCCAGGGTCACACAGCTAGTTAGTGTCCGAGGCCAGATTTGAACAAAAACCTTCCTGCCTCCAGGCCTAGGACTCTATCCACTGCGCCACCTAGCTGCCATAAGTGCAATAGCAGCTACAAGGAAGGTAGATTTGGCTGGTCAATTCCTTGGAGAAAGTTCAGGACTACAGCACGTCCCTGGAAGATGGGTCCAGTTAGAGAGAGGGAAGGGCCTGCCAGGCAGAACAAGTGGTCTGAAAGCTTGGGGACCACTGAAGGAAATCCAGTGTGCTTGTGGTGGGAGGCAGGTCCACATAGGGGAGCAGGAGGGAGACGAGGGCAAAGCGGTAGATTGAGGCCGTGCTTGGGAAGGCCTCAGATGCCAGGCTCAATCTTAGCCAGTGAGAATGGTCCTGAGCAGGAGAGGGAGGAGCCTTCACATGTGGGAGAAGAGGCCCACTCTCCCCCTTGGACCTCACTTCCTATTGAGGCTCCTGTCATGCCCCTGCTCTGTCCCCCAAGGTAGGCTGCCCCTCCACATGCACAGAGGTGAGTGAGGGCTGCCCTGGGTCTCCTGGGAGCCTCCGCTGCACTGCTGATGGAGGACGCTGACAGGCAAAAAGGTGGTGATACCGAGAGGCTGACGGTAGATGCCTTGAATGAGGGATGACATTGATGAAGTCATGATGGTCTAGAATGGATGAAAAAGCATTTGTTAAGCACCCATTGTGTGCCAGGCACCATAGGCACAATCACTGCCCTCAAGGAGCTTACATTTCTAACAGGTGAAAACAATGTCTAGGATCAGAGAACATGGTGGAGAAGTAGGATATGTGGCCTGGTCCTGGGCATGGTGCCACGAAAGCCCACCTCCCAGAGCCCAGGCTCTCGGGGGCAGAGGCCACGTGCCCATGGGAGGAAGAGGAGGAGAAGGAGGACCAGAGTGCAGGGCTGTGGCTCGGCCATGGCCACTAAGAGCAATGGATGATGAACAGTGGCGGCCCTGGAATGATGGAAGGAGACGGGCATGGCTTGGCATCACCTACACTCTCCAGGCTTTTCTTATTCCTGGCCTCGCCATGCTTCATGCTCCAACCAAACCAGCTAACTCCCTGTCCTCTCCCGCCTTGTCTGGCCTCAGGCTGCTCAGAGTACTCCACTTTCTCTGCCACCCTTCAGGTCCACCTAGGACGTCTTCAGGTTTCCCTGTTGTTAAGGGGTCCCCCCTTGGCCCTTGTGTGTCACCTGTTTTCCACCTCTGTCAGGAACTTGTCATAGAAGGTTGTATGTGTTGGGGTCTTGTTCCCTCAGTATATTATAAGCTCCATGTGGGCAGGGATGGCTTCTGTTCCATATTTGCATATCTCTAGCACTTCTTATACAGGAGGGAGGGAAAGAAGAGAGAGAGAGAGAGAGAGAGAGTGCTCTTCTTATACAGCATTTGTATAAGGGAAATGTCTTGTATGCAATACATTTGTTTTGAGTGAGAGTGAACAACAGGCCATGGTAACCACTGACTTGGGCCTCTTCTCCTCTCCCCAGGACGGCCAGTCCCGGACCGTCCGCCAGTTCCAGTTCACAGACTGGCCAGAGCAAGGCGTGCCAAAGTCGGGCGAGGGTTTCATCGACTTCATCGGCCAAGTGCACAAAACCAAGGAGCAGTTTGGCCAGGACGGACCCATCTCTGTCCACTGCAGGTAGGGCTCATCCCTGGGGCCCCAGGGCAGGAGCAGGGGCAGACAGTCTTGCGGTCTGAGTTGTGTCAGCACTGACCTCCCGAACACGACCGTGTGCTTAGACTTGGCCAAGGGCGAGGTCCTGGCAGTGGCATTGCTCTGGGCTGGGCTTACGTAAGGAGACACTCCCCACCACCACCATCCCTTTGCTCCATGGTCCGTGTCACGCCTCCCACTCTCCAAGGCCTCCACATCCATCATGGTTTCCTCTCCCATCTCCCCATTTGTTCCTCTGTCCATGAGCATCTCTTTCCTTCTCCCCATCTCTCTTCCAGATGTAGCCTCGCCTTTCTAGCCCTACCCTAGGGGTACCCAGCCTTTTTTCTATCCCTATGCCCCTTGGCTTTCAGTAATCCTTCCCAGACCACCTATTAAATATGAAAGGAAATAAGTTCTAGAGTGTCTCAGACATACCCATGTGAGGAGTAAAACAGATTAAATTTTTCATAAAAAAACCCTTTATTCAGTACATGATGACATGTTTTACTCTCATAATGTTGTGAAAGATTTTCAGAACACAGTCAAATAAATTAGTTGGTTTTATTTTCTCGGGACAGTTTTTGAAAGCGATTAGCCACATATCATGCCCGGCCTCCAGTTTGTTTCCTGCATGGGATTTGATTAAGAACAGGACCAAGAGCCCTGATTCTCTGAGATAAGTGTAAATGTGAGTGAAGCCTTGTGAGCACATCCAGCAAGGGCAGACTGTGCTTCTGCAAAGGGACTCTGAAAAGTCTGTAACTTTGCTGATTGGAAATCAATTTGGTGCCGGCTGGCACTGTTGCGATCAATGAACACGCGTTTCCTGGGGTGGTCACAGATGGCTCTTTTTCCCTTGCTCAATATGAAAAGCGGTTTCATATCCAGCCTTCATTCATTTGGTTTTAGTTGGTAGGAATTATTCCATCCAGTGCTCTCTGACGCCCCTTCTTTCCCCACCCGGCCCCTGTCTCCTCAGCATCTCTCTCTAATCCATATATTTGTTCACTAACAATAGTACTTTTGTAATATTTCAAGAGGCTAATACAGTTATTTCCTAGATAACTCCAACACACTCCAGGGATGCCCTGCACCCCCCTGTGGCTTCCCCCTTCTCTCTGCCCATCTGTGCCCCTTGCCTGGCCAGGGCCAGGGCCAGGGCCTCTCCCCTGCAGGAAGCATAAACCCATGGTCGACGGGGGAGGGCTTGGGGATTTTCCCCATCAATACCTGGTGCTGTTTCCCACCCCACCCCCCGTTAATTCCATCTGTGTCCCATTCCTCCTGTCCATCCCCACTTCTATATTCCCGTGGTTCCCAGCCTAGGACAGTCAGTCCTCCTTACAAACTCCACTTTCCTGGATGACATTTTCCCATCTCCACTCGTTTTCCTCCTTTGCCCCCTGCCAGACTTGCTGGTCAGTGGTCAGTCTGCAGACATTTATCAGGACTCTATCATGTGCCTGGGGATATAAGAATTAAAACCAAAGAGATGCCGCTTTTGAGGAGTTTACATCCTCCTGGGGAGGCACAACCCATACAATTATTATGTCGATGGGAAATATGTCCCAAGTAAATACAGGGCAGTCCTGCCTCGGCTTCTTACCGACAGTCTGACTTAGCTCACTCAGAGCTCTCTGGGCCTCAGTTTCCTCACCTGTAAAATGAAGACATTGGGCTAAATCTCCGATCTTGTCACTATTTGTCCCTCCTTGGCCCAAAACCCTTCAGGGTACCTGTTGCCAGGCCAGGAAAGGTCAGACTCTGTTCCCATTCAAGGCCGCCTGTGGTCTGGCTTCACCCAACCTTATTTCATGTGGCCCTTCTCCCCGTCAGCACGCTCTGCAGTCCAGGCACACTGGCCTTTCGTTCCGCAGAGGCAGCCCGGGCTTTCCCCTGCCTCTGCCCCTGCCCTGATCCCCTCCCCATCCATCAGCACCTGCCACCCCTTCCCTTGGCTTGCACCTTCCTAAGGCCCTCACTATGTGACGGCGGGTGGGTGTGGGGGCCCAGCAGAGCCCTGCACACAGTAGGTGCTTCATAATAATGACAGTGTGGTCTCTCTCCCTTCCCTGTCTCTCCTCCGGCCTGTGGCTTCCTCTTCCTCTCTCCCTGTCTTTTCCCTGGTCCATGATCCCGTCCTCCTCTCTCTCTGCAGCCGGGGTAGGAGATGCCCCCATTGGAAGTAGGGTTTGAGAGAGCCCCCGAGTGGCCTCAGAACTCAGGAGGAAGGGCAGCAGGGCCTGTTGTGGGCTTGGGGTTATAAGTCAGACGAGCTGGATTCAGATCTTGGCTCCCCCACTTCTAAAGCTGCATAACCTCGAGCCACCCACTCCCACTCTGGGCCTCGGTAAAATGAGGGTGTCAGACAACATCCAGGGCTCTGACCTGGGGTCTGTGGAGAGATCTCCAGGGAGTCCTTGAGGTAGCTTCCCACAGCAGCACAGACACTTTCATATCCCCGTGTAGCTGCTGCAGATAGCTAGAAATTTTGCACTCACCCCTGCTTCACAATGACCGCCGTTGTCAGACATTATTATGAATCTCGCACGCTCGCAGTGTTCTCACCCACGGACGCGCCCGGCTCTCCAGGGCCCTGGCGGCGTCAGATGACCAAAGGGGCACGACGGGGGCCCTTCTGTCTCTGCCTCTGAATGTGTCCTTCCTCTCCCTCACTGTGTGCAGTGCTGGCGTGGGCAGGACCGGGGTCTTCATCACGCTCAGCATTGTCCTGGAGAGGATGCGCTATGAGGGAGTGGTGGACATCTTCCAGACGGTGAAGATGCTACGGACGCAGCGGCCGGCCATGGTGCAGACAGAGGTGAGGGCCCGTCTTAGGCCTGGTGTCCGGATCACGGGAGGCATGTGCTCATCCCCTGCCCTCGGCTCGGCTCAGACCTCGTCTGAGGTACCGGGCAGGGGGAGAGAGGGAACAGGGATTTATAAGCACCTACTATGTGCCAGGCACTGTGCTAAGTGCTTTACAAATATCATCTCGTTTGGTCCCCACAACAACCCTGGGAGGTAGGTGCTGTTATTATGCCCATTTTACAGATGAGGAAACAGACCAACAGGGTTAAGTGACTTGCCCAGGGTCACACAGCTAGTAAGTGTCTGAGGCTGGATTTGAACTCAGGTCTTCCTGAGTCCAAGCCCAGTACAGACTCCGCCACACCATTTGGCTGTCCAGTTCTGGGCCCCATATTTCAGGAGGGACGCTGAAGCCAGACTCACTTTTCCTTATCTGCTGCTGCTTTGTGGCTGCCTCCATCTCATGACCAGCCTTCAAAACTAAGACGCACAATTGTGCTGCCACCACGCCCCCTGCCCCTAGTCTTCTCCAGTCTAGATACCTCAATTCCTTTGATAGATCCTCTTCAGCCCTCTGAGCCTTAGTTACCTCAGCTGTAAAATGGGAATAACATTCATGCGCTGCCGGGCATCCCCCAGGGGAGACGTGGAAACTGGTGCCTACAAAGTCAGGCTTCGAACCCGGGCCCACTGACTCCAAATGCAGCATTTTGTGTCCCAGGGCAGGCTGTCTTCTCTATAGACCCTGAGGTGGGAGGGGAGGGGCAGTAAGATGGCAGTGTAACTGGCTTCTCCCTCCCCCAACCCTGTCTGTGCTTCAGGATGAGTACCAGTTCTGCTACCAGGCTGCCCTCGAGTACCTTGGAAGTTTTGACCACTATGCAACATAAAAAGCCATCCCTCCCCGTACTGACTCCACGGACCACTGGACGTCATGGACGCTCCCCCTTCCCTCACGCGGAAGGGGCCTCGAACTGATTACCACAAACTGAACCCAACAAGTACCTTTTTATTTGGACACCACAGCGGGAGCCTGGGGGAGGGGTAGACGAGGGGGGCCCTCCCCCCGGCAGGCCCAGCGTGAGGCCCCTCGTTTTGGGGCCTCCACAGCATGAACTCCAGGAGCGGTCCAGAAGCTCGTGAGCCAGGGCTGGTCTAAGCAGCGGCGGCTTGTTACCTCAAGTTGGCTTTGGTCCCCGAGTCACCTTGCCCCCCCCAGCCCCCACTCCAGGGAGGGGCACAGTCGCTTGGGGCCCATCCTTAAGAGTTTGGTTTCTTTGTTTGCCTGGTTGGCCATTTTTAGGGGAAGTCACCCCCACACACACGCCCCTCCACCATTCACCCACGCAGAGCCCCCAGCCGCAGCCCTGAGCCAATGACCACATGGATGAAACGCTTCCTATGTACAGTGCTGGGGGAGGGACGGATCCACCAAGCCCCAGCCCAGCCTGCCGGAGCTCCCCCAACATAGAGAAGGAAGGCTGCCCAGGGGTCCCCACAACCAGGACCCAGCTGGGAGGCCGAGTTCTCCGGGGCAGGGGGGCTGGGGCCACATCCCCTTTTGAATACTTGGAACATTCCTCATTTCTTTTTTGATTCCAAAAAATGTTATTTCTAGGAAGTTGGAGAAAAAGACAAAGGGGGGGAGGGCGCAGCGTGGCAAGTAGCTTTCCTGCAGGTGGGATTTCAGAGGGTGCTCAGAGAGGGGCAAGGCAGAGGCGCTGCAGAGACAGGCCCGTTCAACCCATTCCTCCCTGTCCTCAGCAAACCCTCTCTCCTCTCTCCCACCCCTGCCTGGGGCTTGGGGAAGAGATGGTTCTAGACTCATAGGATTCGGACCAGAAGGAACCTTAGAAATCGTAGGATCCATCGCTTTACAGGTGAGGAAACTGAGGCCCCAAGAGGCCGTGACTTGCCCTGGGTCACCCAGGCAAAGTTTGAATTTGAACCCTGAAGCCTTGGTGGGTTCTCCTCACCACCACCGCTGTGTCCCCACCCCCTCCGAATAACCACGCCCCGGCCTCAGCCGAGCCCACCTCCTCCCAGCCGTTGGACCATCAGGAAAGAGCGGAGCCTTGGCCCTGCGCTGTGAGCGGCTTTCTTTAAAGTATCGATGTAACTGTAACCAGTGACATTACCGTTTTTTTTTTAAATAGTGTATTTTTTCCTTTTTTAAAAAAAAAAACTGACAATATGAGTCAATGAATTTAAAAGAGAATTTGCTTATTCATATTACGTTCAAAGACAGTCTATTTTTTCACGGTAGAAACGTTCTGTGTACTGGCTGTGATCATATACAAGATTACGTGCGAATTGCTACTTCTACATATGCTTTTCTACCATTGGAAAGGTTCGACTCGCTCATGTAAGAATGAACTGTCCTTGTTTTGTTTTTAAATTAAATCTCAGACATATCAGGCATGGCTCCAGGTGCGGGGGAGGCCAGGAGAAGGCCAGCCAGCAGGCCCCCTCCTCCTTTGAGCTCCCCTGCCAGGACCAGGCGCCCACTGTGGGTGGGAGGGATGGCACCTCCCACCCCAGAAGCCCTCCTACCCGCCCCAGGTGTGCAGGTGCCCCGGGTCACCACCAGACATCTAGTATGAACCACCACCCGGATACTGGTGGGCCCCAGGGGCTCAGACTGTGTTGCCAAAGTGCAGAGGTGGAAGGAAGATGCGTCCCTTGCCCCAGGCTGCCCTGGGCACCTCTCCCTCTCCCCTGCTCTCTAGATGTGTCGGGATGGGGGCCCCAGCTGGACCCTGGGTGTGGGGCGGTTGGGCACACACACACTCACTCTCAGACCACAACATGTGTGTACCCACACACATAACCCACCTCCTGCACTGACCAGGGAGGTACTGGCCCTGCTCCGCCTCTACCGAAAGGGCCGTGGGAACATGGCCCCAAATGCTTGACACCCTGCAGCTGGGACATCACCCCAGGGAGACGAGGGGAGAGGAGAAAAGCAGATGCCCACCAAGACCAGTTTTTTCTCTTTGTACGAGAGCAGAGACGCTATCCGTTTCCCACTGTTACTTCAAACTGAAACTGTAAGTGGTTTTCCTGCCACTGTGTATGTAGATATATCGACTTTGTATTAAAGGAAGATTGTCTGAAAGCCCCGCCTACAGGAGCCTCCTTTGTTACAGAAACTGCCAGGGTGGGGCCCCAAGGGGCAGCCAAGGAATGGAAGGAATCGGGGATTAGGGTTTTTCAAGTTCCTTGCAATTTATGAATGCGGATGTTGCTTTCAACACCCCATTTTAATGATGGGAAGACTGAGGCCCAGAGAAGGAAAGTGAATTTGCCCAAGGCCACCCAGGTAGGTAATAAGCAACAGAGCTGAGCTCATATCCCAGGGCTCCTGACTCCCGAGTTTGATCTCTCTAGCTGTAACGATGAGGATGCCCACACCTTCCCCCCCCCCCCCCGCCCGGGGGGGGCGCCAAAACGCAACACCCGGCCCGGGCGGGGGGGGGGGGGGGCCCCTGCCGGGGGGCCCGGGGCCCGGGGGGCGGGCGCGGGGGGGGGGGGGGGGGGCCCCCCCCCCCCCCCCCCCCCCCCACGGAGAGAAGTCCCAGCCTTTCCACGGGAGTGAGGGAGAGGAGGAGAGGGGAGGCCATTCTAGTGGTGCCTCCGGTCCTCCGCCTCCACGAGCCCCGGTCGAGCGGAGACCCTGAGGAAAAAGAGGATAGTGAGGGTGCCGGCTCCCATTGCTTCTTGTTGAAAAGCATTTTCTTCACCACAGCCATGTGGGGCAGGAAGGGAAATGAATAGGGCTTAGTAAATCGACTTTATAAAGCACCTCCTATGTGATAGCACAGGGGATCCAGTATCCCTCTCTCTCTCACACAGACACACACACACACACACACACAGAGTAAGTTGAGGAACGATGCTGTGGCTGGGACGCGGTGGCTGGGCTGAACCTTGAAGGGGAATGGAGAGACACTATAGTGACATGAAAGGTTGGAGTCAAGTTGGGGGAGCATTTAATCCAGGTTGCTTTGAATGTATACTTTGTGAAAAAACAGTCATGGGGAGTGGGGTAGTAAATAATATGAAATAAGACTGGAAAACTACACTGGAGCCAGGTTGTGGAAGGCTTCCTGTGCCAGGCTGAGAAGTTGGTATTTTGTCCTGGAGACAACAGGGCGGGGCCGAGCCGTGCCTCCGAAGGATGGTTGGGGCAGCCTCCTGAAGGGGAGGGATCAGAGAGGGAACCACGAAGCGGGGGGGACCAGTCTGGAGGCTCTTCTGATACTCCAGGGGAGAACCAGCATAGGAGCAGCGAGTGGAAAGAGAGAAACGGGGCAAGTGAGATTGTCATCCCCATTTTAAAGATGAGGGGACTGAGGCCCTAGATAGCACAGAGCCTTGCCCAGGGATACACAGCTACAAAGAGCCATTCTGAGGCTTCTTGAGTTCAAAGCCAGCCCTCCCATAACTTCTCTTGCTCCATCAGGTGTATGACTTGCAAGAAAGGAAGGGCAGGGTCACGCTGGGCTGGGCTGGACCAGGTGACTGTGAATGGCTTTCGAGTCATCAAGAACATTGGTCAAACTTCTGTGCGCTCACCCCATCGGATCCAGAATGTTTGGGGTCGGGAGAGGCACAGGGGAGATGGGGTATTGGCCTGCCAATACTGCTTTTGGGGTTGGGTCGGGGTAGGCAGAGCCCGGATGGGCCAAGCCCCCCTCTTGGCAGGCAGTTCCAGAAACAGACAGACTTAGGCCCTCTATGGTAGAAAGAAAGAACCTTGACAGCAAGAGCAAAGGGCACCCCCCTTGCCCGCTGCCCATTTTCCCAGCGCACCGCCCCGCTGGGAAGGCATTCTGAGCTCCTGGCTCATACAATCCCTGCACTTCAAGCAATATTACAACCTCACACTCTCTGCCATCTGCAAACATTTACTGGACACCCAAAGATGAGACTAAACAGGGCCAATGGCCCTCACAGAGAGACCCAGCCCCAAAGCCTGAGGATGATTTCATTGTATTAAAATAGGAAAGGAGAAAATAAGAGAATTCTTTCTCTCTCCCTCTGTCTCTCTCCCTCCCTCTCTCCTTCCCTCCCTTTCTAAGTATGTGTGTGTATATATGCATGATATGTGTGTGTGTATATACACATGCACCATATATATGTGTGTGTATATATGTACATATACACACACATACACATGCATATATCTCCCTCTCTCGCTGTCTCCATTTCTCTCCCTGTGTTTCTGTGTCTGTCTTCCTCTCCTCCTCTGTCCCCCGACTTGTCCCTCAGATCCCCCTCCCCTCTCCCCTGCTTCCCCCCACCTCCACCCCACAGCGTCTCTACAACAGCCCCCTTCAGGCCTGCCTCTCTGCTCCTACTCTGAGTCAGCCCAAGGCCAGTGGGTTTGCCTTGTGCTCCCACAGAGGGGATATGTCTAACCCCACAGACAAAAGGGAAGCTTCTGAAAGGCCAATGTGGAATTCTTGCGGCCTTAGTTTTTTTTAACCGGGGCTCCAGCCCCAAAAGCTGCGCTGAGCCTCCCTCCCTCCTTCCCTCTCATCACGCCCTGGCCCCTGGCCCAGAAACCCTTTCAGACTCCAAGGCTTTGGCTGAGGGAGCCCTATGCCTCTCGAGCTCTTGGTGAATAACAATGACCTTGTGTTGGCTGAAACTGGAGAAAAGCCCTAGCCCCGAGCCTGTGCTGGCCAGCCACAGAACAGGGATACTCAGCCCCAGGGACATGGGAGCAGAATCACCAGAAGAGCAGGGTGAGTTGGGGGTAGACCAGAGAACAGAGCCAGCCTGGGAGCCCTCCATGGCTCATCCATTCCACGTTGGGGCAGCTCTCAGCAGATAAGAAATGTTACCTTTCATTGAGATGAAAGCTGCCTCTTCTGCAGCTTTCTCCCATTACTTCTAATCCAAGCCCCTCATACGCCGCCATCCACCCCCCCACTGCACCCCCAGCTTCCTCCTTCTCCAGGCTAAATGTCCCCAGTTCCTTCAAGCATGAGGCTAGAGTTGTACTTTAGGGATGTGGCACAAGGCAGACAGTCCCAGGTCCTTCTCCTACCACTCAGAGGGAGAGGATTTGGGAGTTGGGTAGGACTAGGGATCCTCAGGAGAAATCCTGCTAAATCCCCATAGGGTGGGACACTGAAAGTCCCCACCTGGGTGATAGCAGTTATTCCTTGAGCCCCTTCCCCTAGGAGAGGTTATCCATGGAGGCGGGGAGGGGGGAGCAGAGAGGACATGAACCCCTCCAGGTCAAGAAGTATCTGATCTTGGTGGGGTGGGGATATTATTGAGACTATGCTAATGGTTATCCCCACCATTCCCCACCTGAAAATCATAGAACATCAGAACTAGAAGGGACCTTAGAACATAATGTCAGAGCTGGGAGGGCTCTTGGAACCCAGAATGTCAAAGTTGGGAGGACCTTTGTAGTAATCTAGTTCAACTCTCATTTCATAGATAGAGAAACTGAGGGCCAGAGAAGTATAGTGACTCCCCCAGGGTCACCTAGCTTCAGGGGCTGGATTCTGTCTTCCACCTACTCAGACTGTCCACCTGTATTCTCTGTCTCTGTCTCTGTCTCTGTATCTCTATATCTCTGTCTCTGTCTCTCACACACACACACACACACACGTGCATAATAGTACAATCTGGGAGCAAAGATCAAGGTACAAGTCAGCACCATTTTTCAGATAAGGAAACAGGCATGGAGAGGTTATACAATATGCCCAACGTGGCAGAGACCAACCTCATGGCTCCCAGACCAGTGCTTTCCCCCAAACCAACCAACTCCACATAATCTGCTGGAGGCTGGGCAGGGTTAGGCTTGAAAGTCCCACCTCGCCCCTACCCTGCCCACCCATTTTCAATGACTCTAGTGCCAAAGGTTCCTAAATTTAAAGCTGGGAGGGATATCAGAGGTTATCTAGTGTAAGCCCTCCATTTTAAAATAGTATTTTTCCCCAATTACAAGTGAAGACAATTTTTAGCATTGACTTTTACAGGATTTTGAGTTCCAAATTTTTCTCCTTCTCTCCCTCCCTTCGCTCCCTCCCCTGCCCTTGTACTAAAATGGTAGGCAATTCGATATAGATTATACATGTGCCATCATGTAAGACATATTTCTGTATTAGTCACAGTTGTGAAAGAAGAAACAGATCAAAAGGGGAAAAAAAACACAAAAAAGAATAAAGTCAGTGAAAAAATACACTTCAATCTGCGTTGAGTCCATCAGCTCTTTATCTGGATGTGGAGAGCATTTTCCTTCGTGAGTCCTTCATACTTGTCTTGGATCATCGTGTTGCTGAGAAGAGCTGAGTCATTCACAGTTGATCATTGCACAATGTTGCTGGTATTTCCTTAAGCCCTCCATTTTACAGATAGGAAAACTGAGACCCAGAGAGGCTAAGCGACATGTACAAAGTCACACAGGAAATAAGTTGCAGAGCTGGAATTCGAACCCCGGTCTTCCAACTTTAAAGACATTGCTCATGTTACACCAGGCTGGTGCCTCGAAATGGGGATGGGGATGGCAGGGGAGCAAAGCCAGAGCAAGGAAGATGGCCTGAGGTAGTTGTGGAGCATAGAGAGATTAGAAGTGACGATGAGGAGAAAGAGGAGATTGAGGAGGAGGAAGGCATGGGGAGAGCGAGAAAGAAGAAAGATGATGCTCATATAAAGGAACTGGGGAGTTCTTGAAGCTGGGAGTAGAACACTTATGGGCAGTGGCCAGATCCAAGGTCCCCTTAAGGACAATGGAAGAGGTAACCAGTGACCCAAGGCTTAGCCGATTGAGGAAGGAGAAAGTCAGGACATCAGGGCAAACATCATAGGAAGGGTGGAGAGAGGCTGTGAGCCAGGCACCAACCTCATTGAGAAGAGAGGGAGACACCCTCAGGGCCAGCAGATAACCACTACCAGAACCCAGATTGGATTCCAAGTTTGTCTGGTGTGATGCTCAGAGGAAGAGAGGTTGCCGAGTGATGGTGGCCATGGAGAGAGTCCAACAGAGGAAATGAGGAGCATGATGCCGGTGGTTGTCTCCACCAATTCCTACTCTCAACCCCCCAAATCACAGACTGTCAGATCTAGAACATGGAATGTTCTAGAGCCAGGAGG